ACAGTATTGGCTAGTGTGACTGGGCTCGGGTGAGAGAAGACGTATGTAGTGTCATCTGCAAATAGTGTGGGTTTGATTTAATTGCGAAGCATTTGGAAGGTCATTTATGTATAGGAGAAAGAGAAGAGGGCCAAGGACACTTCCCTGTGGGACCCCAACTGTAATTGGTTGCGCAGAAGAGTTTGCCCCATTTGCGTACACATATTGGCTTCTGTTGCTGGGGTATGATTGAGGTAATTGAGGGGGTGCCCTCTTATCCCCATAGTGTGACAATTTTACGTGGAGCAAGTCATGGTCAACTGTATCAAAAAGCTTTACGTAAGTCAATGAAGATCCCAGTGGGACTTCTTTTTTCTCTATTGCAGTGTATATATGTTCTAGCATGTGTATAATAGCATCATTAGTATTTTTATTAGGCCTGAATCCCAAATTTGGGAGGGGTTGAGTATGTTCTGGGAGATAAGGTAGGAGTTGATTGTTTATGAATTAGTTTTTCAAAGATTTTTGAGAGAGGGTGTAAATTGGATATTGGCCTATAGTTATTCAACTCTGTTTGGTCTCCTCCTTTTTGGATCGGGGTGACCCTTTCTATTTTGAGTACTGTAGGGAAGGTGGAGGATTCAATGGATTTGTTAAAAAAGTGTTGCATGATTGGAGTAGCACTTGTGACACTTTTTTTATATATAAAGGGTGGTAAGGTATTAAATCTCCCGCCTTGTTTTTTAGTGCATTGATAATAAGGGAGACTTCGTATGGGTTAGTCGGAGCTAGGAACAGTGTGTTCGGGTAGTTGCCGGTGAGGTAGTTATTTGGTGGGGTTTCTGAGCTTGGGATTTTATGGGCAGGTTTTGTCTATAGTGGAGAAGAAATCATTGAGTCTGTTTTTCTGTTTCTGTTGGTGGGAGTTGGGGTTCATCTGATTTTGCTAATTTTATTTCGCTATTTCGTGTATCTTTTTTGTTCCCCGAATTTCAGATAGTGTTTTCCAGGTCTTTTTTATATCACCTCGTAAGTTGGATAATCTGTTCTAAAATACATTTTTTTTGCCCTTTTATCAGGTGGTTAGGATTGACATAACTTTTTTTGGTCTCGGTTATGTGACTTTCTGTATGTTTTTCATATAGGTTTTTTTGTATTTATGGATTTGAAAATGCGGGGTGTTAGCCGGGGACTGTTCATCTCTTGCTGTCATCTGTTTATTTTTTTTGGGCGGGGCTTTTTAAAGAGTTTTGGGTTTTTTTAGAAAATTATTAATACATTCGCAATATCTGATGTTTTCTAGCTCAGTGTCCCAATCAATGTTTGCAAGCTTTTGCGAATTTTTAATGGCTCCTCTTTTTGAAGTCTAAAGGGTGCTTTAGTGTTTGGGGTAGTTTACCAAGATTGTTATTTAGGGAAAAAAGGGTAGGGTCTTGGTATTATCTGTAATTATGCCCGATTTAAAAGGGGGGATGGTTTGGTCCAGATGTGGTCAAGTGGGGAAAAATGTCCTGAACTCTTGTAGGTTTTTTTACTTTGGTATAACATACAGTTTTCTCATTTTGTTTTGAATTCAGTAACGTGTGGGTCCTGGTCTTGCAGGAGATTTTTATTGAAGTCCCCGAGAGTATTAAATGATCTTTGTTTATGGGCCAGTTTTCATACTTTCCCTGATTTTGACTAAATTGGCTAATGTTTTTTATTGGGAACTCTGTGATGTTTATCAATGTGAGAGGTTTTTGTAGGTATTTGGATTGAATTTAGCTATGGAGGGTGGAACATTTGCTTTGTTAGGGCCTCAACAGGGGGAAGATGAAAACACCAAGGGACAAATGTAAGCCTTTGGGGATGGATAGAGTTTGGTAGAGAGAGTAGCAGGAAGGCCCCGGATAAATTGGTCACCATAACGAGTTTTAATAAAACGGGGTGAATGTAGGCAAAGCGAGTTCGACAACAGCTCCCAGGAAAGTGGCAAGGGTTTTAAGAAGGGGTTTAGCGGCTGTGACAAGTTGCCTTCAGAGAGGAATGTGAGGTTTCCCGGATAACCCACGGCAAAAGAAGGCCCAGAAACCTGACTTTATCATGTTCGGGGGTACGGAACCATAGGGATACAAAGATGATCGGGGATAAAGAGTGTCTAGTGAAAGTAATTGGTGAGTTTTTTTACTTGAAAATTTTAAAACCCCGTTGGGGCCCAAAAAGGAAACCCCGGGCGACCGCATGCGGGGAGAAACTGCAATAAAGGGGACATTAGCGCCTGCACAAGCAATAGCGAATTTATCAAAAGAGGAGACCAAAATTGGGTGGAAGAAAGGGCCCGGAAAAAAGGGTTTTTGCTTAGAAA